TTCAGAGACTTCCAGTGTCCCAGAAAACATATTCACTTTTTTTTTTTTTTTGAGACAGAGTCTCGCTTTGTTGTCCAGGCTAGAGTGAGTGCCGTGGCGTCAGCCTAGCTCACAGCAACCTCAAACTCCTGGGCTCGAGCGATCCTTCTGCCTCAGCCTCCCGAGTAGCTGGGACTACAGGCATGCGCCACCATGCCCGGCTAACTTTTTATATATATATCAGTTGGCCAATTAATTTCTTTCTATTTATAGTAGAGACGGGGTCTCGCTCTTGCTCAGGCTGGTTTTGAACTCCTGACCTTGAGCAATCCGCCCGCCTCGGCCTCCCAAGAGCTAGGATTACAGGCGTGAGCCACCGCGCCTGGCCCATATTCACTTTTGTGCAATTTTTTATATTTCTATAGTTAATACTTGCATAATTTGATGACTTTTCTTTGAAACTATGACTAAGCTTTCCATATCCTGCCACAGCTCTGTACAAAATCTTTCTATACAATTTTCCATTTGGTCATCTCTGACAGATAATTTATTGTTGTCACTTCCCATCCCTCTCCCCTCAGACATCCTTCCATCTTTCTGCTCCCTAAACCCACTGCCCAACTATAGTCCTGAGATTTTTCTTGACCCTCATCCCAGGAATTCCTTTTGCCTATCTCCTGTGGCTCTCATTTTCTAGGTTTGCCTTTTTTGTTTATTCCTTCATTTTGACTAAGAAATATCTCCCAGTAGCTTCTAATATAAGGCATATGGAAATAACTTTTTTTTTTTTTTAATATCTGAACATGTCCTTACATATGTATGCTCACAGTTATTGATAGTTTGGCTAGGTATAGAATTCTAGGTTGAGAAAAGTATTTTTTTTCTTACAATTCTGAAGACATTGTTCTATTGTCTTTAAGTTCCTGGCGTTGTTTTTGAATGCCATCCTTAGTTCTCATCCATTGGGTATGATCTTTTTTCCTTCTCCCCCTTTCTCTTTCTCTCTCTCTCTCTTTCTCGGGAAGCTTTTAGTGTTTTGATATTTTGCCATTTCACAAAGATGTATTTGTTTTCATTCATTGTTCTGCCTTTTAAATTGGTGGGTCTTTTTAATCAAAAAATTTTGAAACTGACTTTGGGTAAATTTTCCTATTTTTTTTTAATAATTTGTACTGTATTGTATTCACTATTTTCTCTTTCTTGAGAACTTTTATCCATTGGGAGGTGATCCTTCTGGGTTGACATTTCTAATTTTTAAAAAAATGTTTTGAGGCAGGGTCTTGTTCTGTTGCCCAAGCTAGAGTATAGTGGCATCATCATAGCTCACTGCAACCTCCAATGCCTGGGCTCAAGTGGTCCTCCTGTATCAGCCTCCCAAGTAGCTGGAACTACAGGTGCACATCACCATCCCTGGATAATTTTTCTATTTTTTGTAGAGATGGGGCCTTGCTACATTGCTCAGGCTGGTCTCAAATTCCTGGCCTCAAGCAATCCTCCCACCACAGCTTCCCAAAGAGCTGGGATTATAGGCATGATATACTGCACCTGGCCAACGTTTCTAAGTTTTAAAACTTTTTTCTTCTATTTTCTATCTTTTTATATCTTTTCTATCTGATAAATATATTTGACTTTTTCTTACAACCCTTTTGATTAATTTTAAATTCTAGCTCTTATAATTTTTCATTTCCTAGAGCTCTTTTTTTTTTAGTCTATATGTTTTAATGTATCTATATGTATCTATATGACCCCTGACTGCCTGTTTTTACTTAAGATCAAGGATCTCAAAAGCTGATTATAAGCTCAAAGGTGATTAGAGTCTCTGTGGCCAGCACGGTGGGATAATTGTCAGTTAGCGGACTTTATTCATGAGTCCACTCACAGTCAAGGGACTAGCTGATTGTTTCAATAAGGATACCCAATGTCAGGATCTGTAGGCCTGTTCCAGATATGGGCAAGAAGGGGGCTGGCGATATTGCCATTTAACAGATTTTCACTTTCTCGTTTTTAGTTCAGCATCTCAGCCCCACCTTCCTCTGCACTTGGTGTCCTCGAGTCCAGGGCATCTCTGATTTATTTTTTCTAAAATGTATTTTATTTTATTTTAGATGGGGTCCGCTCTGTTGCCCAGGCTGGAGTGCAATAATGTGATCATAGCTCATTGCAGCCTCTAACTCCTGGGCTCAAGCAATACTCCCACGTCAGCCTCCTGTGTAGTTGGACTATAGGCACATGTCACCATGCCCAGCTAATTTTTAAAATTTTTTTGTAAAGATGGGGTCATGCTATATTGCCAAGGCTGGTCTCAAACTCCTGCCAAGGCTGGTCTGATCCTCCCCTTTCAGCCTCCCAAAGTGCTGGGATTCCAGGCGTGAGCCGCCATACCTGGCCCCATTTTTTCTAGAATTTATATCTGATAGCTACACTAGAGATGGGGTTGGAGGTTGCCTAGCTGGGAAAGCAGGAGTGGGACCTGGAAGGCATAACTACTGCTTATTCATTTCTTCCAAGATGTCTCCTAGTCCATCCCAGAGCCACATTGTCCCTGTTTGCATACTCAGTGCCTCCCATTCCAGACGGGCAAGTGATCTCGATTCTCTGCAGTATCCCCCTTTCAGGCACTCAGGCACCTCCCTGGTTCTGCCAGGAGGCTGGTCATTCCTCCTTCAATTTCTTCCATTTGTTTTCCAGTTTCACATATCATAGTTCAAGGTCACCATGATGCAGCAAAGATGTAGTTTTGCTCCTTGCTGTTTGAGGATGATTTTTGAGACAAGAAGGGAGTGACTGTTGTTTACTCCACCATCTTAACATTCAGCAAACAAGTTAGACGTTGCTTTCTTACTGCCCTCAGCCGTCAGTGTCAGTGGGGATTCCATGGTAGCTGCGTCTTCTCCTGGGGCGCTGGCTTCCTGCTGCAGGCTTGGCCCTTCCTTCCCCCTCACTTCTGCAGTTTCCCACCCTCCATTTCTGTTTCTCTTCATTTTCTCCTGCAGAGCAGTTCAGCCCTCTCTTTGTTGAGCCTCTTTCTTTCAGACTCAGTCCAGAAACCTTTCTTTTCAAATGGTGTATTAGTTTTCGAGGGCTACTGTGACAAGTTACCATAAACTAGGTGGCTTCAAGCAACACAAATGTAGCCTCTCAGTTCTGGAGGCTAGAAGTCTGAAATCAGGATGTCGGCAGGGCCATGCTCCCTCTGAAGGATCTAGGGAAGTGTCCTCCTCACCTCTTCCTCCTTTCTGGTGATTGCTGGCAATCCTTGCTGCTCCTTGGCTTGCAGCCACATCACTCCAAGCTCTGCCTCCATCGTCACATGGCATTCTTCCCATATGTGTGTCTGTGTGTCACTAAATCTCCCTCTCCTTATAAGGATGCAAGTCTCATTGGATTTAGGGCCTATCCTAATCCAGTATGACCTCATTTCCAAAGAAAGTCATATTTTGAGGTTCCACATAGACATGAATTTGGGAGAGACACTATTCAACTCAGTACAGATGATTTATGCAACCTTCTGCAACAAAGACTAGTTCTCTCCCTTAGAACTCCTCTTCTAGATCTTAAAATAATATGTATATTTCCCCTTCTTGCCACAGTAATTCTTTAATCTTAGGCCTATCAGTTTTGTTTCTCCAATTATTTTGAAGTGACATTAGTTAGGGGTTAGTGGTTGATAACTCTTAACATTCCCACAGTACCTCGTTAGTGCTATGCACATGGCAGGGACTTAGTGAATATTAGAAAAGAAACTGTGGTTGTGGTTGCTCAGTGCCCTGCTTTATCTGGTGCCTTGATGGGAAAGTGTCCTAAGAACACTCCCTCCCAGGGCTTTTGCACTTTGTAGTTTCCATGGACAACCTTCTGTGGGTCCCTGTGATCCCTGAATAGATTCACACTCAGCCCAACAAGAGAAGCCCTTCACAACCAGTGTGGGGGCTTCTCTAGTCTCATCCTCCATGAGCCTTTGCTGTCTGTCAGTGCTCCAAGTCAGCGGGGCTCGCCTAGCCCAGGGCTTTTGCTTAGCCATACTCCCCACTTGAATTGGTCTCCCTTGCTATATGCCCAGCCTTTCCTCCTGGTAAACACCCACTCATCCCTCAAGACCCAATCCCAAAGCCACTTCCTCTCTGAAGCCTTCTATAACTCCTGTGAACAGAATTCATTTCTTCTGCCTTGATGCTCTCCATCATTGTGGACACAGCTCCATTTTAACACTTGCCACATTCTGAGGAAATCTTTGGTGTATGTGTCCTCCAGCCACTACTAGACTGTTAGGCCCTGTGACGTCTCTTAGGTGCAGTGTCTGGCACAGAGTAGACTCAATGATGTGTGATGGGGCCATATGGTGGAGATGCTGGTCAACAGGTACAGGAGTCTCCTAGGCCTTCTCAACCGCAGCTGGGGAACTGTTTAGTTAGAGAAACAGCATAGTTTCTCAGCATGGTCATTGGAAATGAGGAGAGGAAATGACTTGTCATGTAAGTATTTTCCAAACTGCTGCATAAGTATCAATCCAAAGTGACTTAATCTATTATGGCTTCTAAACCCTAGATAATACAGAACAGTTCTTTCCCTGTGGGAGGCCAGGGAGGTCATGGAGCCTTGGAGAAAGGGGGTGACTCCTGCCCTATTCCACGATAGCGTTTCAGTCGGACTCATTCCAGTTAGCTCAAGTCTTGGGGGCTTATGGTAATGAAGCTGAAGAACCAGGAAGCTGTGAAAAAGGGGAGCTCAGAGGCTCACACTGTCTCACAGGGCTGCAGGTCCATCTGTCTGTCTGTGGCTCTTCTCCGTTGGTGAGGCAGGCACTCCCAGTGCCTCGCCTGTATTCCTCAGAGCTTTCAGTGCGCTTCGATGCCAACTGTCAGTATCTCTGCATCTCTGTGCCTAGGGGATTTTTTTCTGGAGCCACGGGAGGCAGCTCTTTCCACCAGCACCAGGGTAGAGTGCGAGAGAATCAAACCGTATGAAAGCAGCCCTCAACCCAAGACTCTCTGAAGTTGCTATAAACGTCCCAACTCCCTTACCTGTTGGCCAGGGTAGTTCCGAGGTGTGCGTACTACTGCTTCCCCCTGAGGCGAGTGCCAGTCCCGGTTATGGCCGCCTGCTCTTCCCGTAGCACCGCCCCACTCCTGCGGTTTCCTGGGACCACTTCCCAGATCAACCACTTGCGCTCGAATCGTTGTCTCAGAGCCTGTTTCCAGGGAGCTCAAACCAAGAACCGCGGCAGCTCTGCTCTTTCGCGTTCCCTCGCGCTTGTTACCGCTTGGCTTCTCCGTTCCTCTCGTCTCTACCTTTCTAAACCCCACAGGTCTGCTTTTTCCCGTCTTTTGACTCTTCATTTTAATTATTATGTCTACTTTCTCATAATGAGCACCCTATGTAACTCCTCGAGGCCTTTACCCTGCTCTGGCTAGCTCTCCTTAGGTCCTTTCATCCACTGTTCCCACTGCCAGCTACCTCGTTCTTGCCTCGTTTCCCAGTTCAAATCTGACAGAATAGGAATCTGACGGCCCAGCCATCTTCTTTGCATAGGGCACAAGCTGGCCCACGGATTGGCTGCACTCGGGTCAGCTGACCACCCTCGGTCCAATCATCTGTGCTGGGAGCGGAGATGAGGCAGGAGCGTGCAGGAAAGTGTAATGGCCGACCCCAGGGAAAGGACTGGAAGTTCCAGCCCTTCCCCCTCCCCCCATTCTTTTATGTGGACGATTGACATTGTCACAATTTTGTTTTAAGTATAACTTCAATTTCTCCTTTCCAATCAGAATGCCCTCCTACATCTCTCCAATACTGAAACACTAAGCCGCCATATTAAGACCTGGCCACCTAGGGTCCGGGCCCTGGGCGGGGCTGCGGCAGGTCTTTCCGCGGGAGAAAGCCGTGTCTACGAGGCCAGTGCATCTCACAGGGCGGTCCAAGCTTTCTGTGAACAAAAGTGTTTTTACATGACTACAAAAAGCTTGGAAAATACAGAAAAACACAAAGAAAAAATCTGCAGGAAATCCCAACAGTCTGAGATAATCACTCCTTGAATTTTAGGGCCTTTCCGTGTGTGTGTGTGTGTGTGTGTGTGTGTGTACTTACAGAGGGAAATATTTCTTCCCCATAATAAGAGGATCATCCTACATATGCTGCTTTTTATAACCTGCTTTTTTTTTTTTTTACCTTATCACTGAACATTTTTCCATGTCATTAAATACGCTTCCACAGCCTCGTTTCGGTGTCAGGCTGGCCTGCAGATGCGGGGCTCCCCCACCCTCCCCTCTGGACACTCGCAGTGAAGGTGCCGGTTTGCACAGGTGAGTCTAATGAGCTCAGCCCCCATCCCATTACAAAATTTCAGCTCATCTACACCGACAGCTGCCACGGGGACCTAGGCCATCCACCTCAGCGGGAGCGTCCCCAGCAGCCCCGGACTCTCGGGGGAATCACCAGGCAGCTCCCTGCAGCTTCCTCATTCCCGCATGCTCCCCACAGCTCAGGACACGTAAACTCAGATCACTGAAAACCAGAGATGGAAGCTGCTTGCTCCCGGGCCTCAGAATTAGGAAGGAGGAACCCGGCTCAGAGAGGAGAAGTGGCCTGCCCACATGCAGCCAGGAAGTGGGTAGCAAGGTCAAGACCCAGGCTGCACCCCCGTAGCCAAGCCACATATCTTCTTGCCACTACCCCAAAGCCTGTCGGGAGTTGGGGTTCTCCTCCACTGTCAGTCCTGCAGGGTGAGGTCTCCATGACATGCCAGAGCCCTGGGATGAACTGGCCAACTTAAATGCCCTAGCCTAAGACTCAACCTTGGGGAATGTAGCTGTCCCCATCCCCCCAAAGCCCACCTCTCCCTCCGCCAACTTCCCTCTGGATCAGGTCCCAGTTTCACATCCCAGGGTGTAGTAGTTAGAACAGCTGCCTTTCTTGCTCTCCACAGTGGCTGAGTAAACATTCCAGCAACAACAAGCCTTCCTGTCACTAAGACCTATGTTGGTGAAGTGTGGTGCTGGGCTTTGCAGACTGTCACTAGCCAGGGAGACCTTTCTTCAGGCCTCCAGGCTCTCAGTCCTTGGAGCAGATTCCCGTGGCTGGAGCAGGCCCAGGAGCCCAGGGCACCCCTGCCCTTTCAGTGGGCTGTCAGTCGGAGATGCCAGACCGCAGCCTGTGTTAGGAGTCTCTGGTTTCCAGGAGAAGCTGGAGGAAACTTTGCCCCGGTGGTGATTACAGGAGTCAGGCCCAGAGTGTACCCTGGGAAGCAGTTCTTCCAGCTGAAAGCCAGTTCACTCAGTGTGAAATGGAAGAAGGATTATCTCAGCACCCCATCTGCAGTTCTTAGGAGTCATGGGCTTTGTGCCAGATTGCAAGGACCCGGGTGCCTTGCAGTTAAGCAGCATGAAAAGAATTCTGAGGCCTTATTTCCCCCTTCTCTGAGGCCATCTTGGCCAAGCCTCCACCTTGGGGATCCCCCTAGGGCTCAGCAGAGCTTAGGCTGACCTGCTCTTCCCAACCTGGCAGCCCGCAGCTCTGCTTTGGAGACGACGACACAGGCAGCTTGTGCCCTTTGTCTAGCTGGTGCCTTTCTCCCATATGGTGGGACATGAGTCTTCTCCAAACACAGACGGCGTAGCACTGTTCCTGCATCTTAAAGCACATGCCGCCTTGTTTCATCTTGAATCCGCTTCCTTTCTCCTGCAGATTTTCTTACCTAGCAAGCAGGACCTACAAATTCCTGGTGGACATTCTGTTTGCTGAGAACTAATGCAGTTGTATCTTCTTAGAGACAGGAGAAATGAGACGGTGACTGACCCTGGGTAAATGTCCTCAGGGAAATGAGGGTGTGCAAACTCTCCAGGTTGATGAGTGCTAATAGATTATTCTTGATTGCCTTGGTGGTCAGGAGCAAAGCCCCCTGCCCACCCCCATTCTTCACTCAAGCACACCTCCCCACAGGGAACCCTTTGCTAACCCTTGCACCTCACCTATAGGTGGGGAAACTGGAATTCTTACTCTACAACCTTTATGGGTTTCTATTCTGCCGAAGACAGTGTCAGTTCTTACCACTGCAAGCCAACAAAAAGGTCATGTAAAGCCCTTCCCCAGCAAGGGGGAAGGAGAGAGGAGAGAGGGAGGGAGAGAGGTGAGCCTGAAGGGGGAGATAAGCTCCGCCAGCCTGGGGCATCAAGTTCAGTTCTGAGCTTGGCTGCCAAGCAGAAGCAAGCGGCCAGACTTGGAGGCGAGGGTGGGAGAGAAGGGAGGGGGTGAAGAGGACAGTCGAGCCCAAGCTCACCCACCTGCTGCGTTCAGGGAAGACAGGGCCACAAGGAGGGCGAGGCTCTGCTGAGGGCAGCCCTGCCCAACCCTGCTCGTGCATGAAGGCAGAAGACCAGCGACACCAGCTGTTCTTGGACAAGCTGTTCCAAGGGAGGACCAGCTACAGAATTTGCAAGGCCCAGTGCAAACTGAAACTGTGGGGTCCCTTGTCCAAAAATCATTGAGACCTTCAAGTTGGAGACTATAGAACATTGAGCCAAGGGTGGCTCACTTGAGTGGGGGGCCCTGGTCAAGTGTAAGGGTCACACGCCCATGAAGCCGGTTCCAGTTCCAGGGCTGTGGCTGGTGCTTTGATGGGTCCCTGGGCTGGTTCAGATGCAGTTTATTGAGATTAAAAACAAATTTAGAGAGGGACATAATAAGATGAAACCAAGGGGTGGAAGTTACATCAGTAGCAGCTCATTATTGGGCGCCTGCTTGTATGAGGTTCTCTTCTAAGTGCCTCATATATGTTACATACCGAATTCAAACTTTAGGACAACTGTATGGGGCAGGTACCATCATCATCATCATCGCCCAGCTGAGGAAACTGAGACACTGAAAGGTTGAGTGATGTGACCTTTGTGACCGTTGGTTAATGGAAAGGCAAAGTGATTTGCTCAGGAACATAAAGTTCCTCAGTGAAAGAGGTGGGAGCGGAACGCAGGCCCCAGGGCCCACGGCCCTAACCAGGTGACAGTCTGTCTGTCTGCACACACGGAGGACGGCTGAGCAAAGGGAAGCTTCCTTACAAGGAACCATCCTTCCTGTAGCAAAGAATGTTCTAAACAAAGGCATTCAGAGAGCCATGGGCTGGCAACATTTGACAATGGGCAGGAGACCCCTTTATAGAGGGGAGTCCAGCATTGCCAGGGAGTTGGATTAAGTCACAACGATTGTTTTAATGAGAGCTACCCCTTTATCGGTATTTATGATGAGTCAGGCACTATGCTGAGCATTTTATAAGCACTTTCGGAGCCCTGGATGTTAGTGCCTTATCTCGTTTTACAGAAAAAGAGAGAAGCCCAAAGTCACAGAGCTTGGAGCTGGCATTTCCCTGAGTTAAGGAGCTGGGACTCGACCTCAGATTTGTCTGCCTCCAAAGCCCTTGTTTTCAGCAGCTGTAAGATACAGGCTGACTGTTAAGGTCACTTCCGGCCCCCACGATGCTGTAATTCTGGACATCCACGGGGAAATGATATTGCCTCTGCCAATGAGGTTTCACTTTCGCCTGTGTTGATATTTTTACTGAGAGCTTGGAGGCTGCTGGGGGGCTGTGGAATCTGTTCCCTGTCTAGAGTCAGTCCTCTGGCATGTGGGCCAAACTCTGGCCGGACTGTTCTGATTCTTTCTCCCCTGCACTTTACTATCTGCGGTTCATTTAAGCAATGATGAATGCCTTTGTTTCTGGTTTCATCGTGTCTAACCAGACAGCTTTGCAAGTGCTGGTATTATGTCCAGAAAAGCTCATGGAGTCTCACTTTCTCTGAGCCAGGAAGTGTGTGGCAACCCCTGTACCTCGTGCCGAACCCCAAGATCCCCCCCTGAAGGCACAGGGTTGAAGCCCCAGGGGGAAGGCGCTTTCATCAGGGATTAAATTTAGTGCTTCTCCAGCTTTCTCTCCCCACTTCCAAATCAGCCCACCAGGACACTGTCACCTGGTCCAGGAACCCTAGGCACCAGCAGATCACTAAGGGTGGAGAATCCTAAAGAGACATGCCAGGACCCAGCTCTCTGCTGTCCAGACACTCAGCTCTTCAGAAGGCTAATGCTTGTCACCTGTACTAGTTAGCTAGGGCTGCTGTAACAAAGTCCCACAAACCGCGTCACTTAAAACAACAGAAATTTATTCTCTCACAGTTCTGGAGGCCAGAAGCCTGAAATCAAGGTGTCTGCAGGCTGTGCTCCCTTGGAGGCCCCAGGAGAACCTGTTCCGTGCTCTTTTCTTAGCTTCCGGTGTTGCCAGCAATCCCGGTCATTCCTCAGCTTGTGGACATCACTGCACCCTCCACCTCCATCACCTCACGCCTCTTCCCGCGTGTCCCTGTCTGTGACTCTTCTCCTCTTCCTATGAGCACCGCAGACATATTTGATTAGGGCCTGCTCTAAAAGAATCTGACATCATCCTAACTTGATGACGTCAGCAAAGATCCTATTTCCAAACAAGTTCATGTAGGGGAAAAACATAATTTCCTTTTTTATCCCCTTTTAGGTTCTTAGTTGAGACACTCTGCTGGAAACAAATGTCAGATTAATGCAAGAAAAACGAGCAGAAGTTATCAACATGTGCTGTACCCATCATGCAGGAGAGGCCTCAGGTCAACAGTATTTCTCCCTCAAGGCAGTGGTTCAGTGGCCTTGTTTAAATAACTTTCTAACAAAGAGCCATAAATCTTATATGATGACAAAACAAAGGAGGGAGCTGTTCCAGAAAAGGTGGGGAAATGTGGGAAGATAGTAAAATCTGCTCCCCAACTCCCCTGATGCGTGCTGGTGGCTTCTCTGAGCTGATGAACAGTGCTGTCTGCAGTAAGGAAGGATTTATTAGTATTTTCCACCAGTAGATAGAGGCTGAGGCAGAGAGTTCCCCTGTATTTTCAGTGTCTTTAACTTAATGATCTTCAATATTTTGGTGAGAAATATTTTGGTTTCCTTCATTCATATTCATAGGGACCTCAAGTCAGCACTTCAACATATCTTTTTAGGGACCCAATTCAACCCACACTTAGTCACCCACACTTAGTCACTGAACACACGCGTCGTGACTTCTCAGGATGTGCAGCAGGTGTATTGCTGGGGACACTTACTAGCCTGTCCTGATGCCAGCACTGCTCATTCTTTAATCCTC